AGATCCCCTACGGCGTCCTACCCAACAGCTTTTGTTAGCTACAGTAAGCTTCTGTACATTTGGGATCACGTTGGCTCCAGAGTTTCGTATCTGTTTGGTTTCCTTCACAACCCTCTCCCTCCCTCGGCGCCTCTCCTGCTTATCCGGCTGTGATTTATCCAAACGGACCGGGTGAGCTGAGCGAGACACTCCAGATCAAAACGTTAACCTGAATGTGTCACACCGTCCCCGTCCTTAAACCAAAGACGACCACTACAGGAGTGTTTGAAAGTCCACGAGGTGGGTCGGACATTGTTTGTTTGAACACTGGGCGGATACGAAGCAGCATCCGTCTCCAGTTCCCCTGATGGATCGAATGACATCATTCGCCAACAGCATTTTGGTCTCCTCAAACTAATGAGACAAATAGAAGGCTTTTAAAGCCCTTAAATACGAGTCTCTGGCGGTGTCGGTCAGCTGCTGTGTGGTGTGCAGGTAGTGTACAGTGTGTTTATCGGAGCGTTTCACTCTCAACGCTGCTGAGCGCACTGAGAATGAACCAAAAATAAGAAATAAAATAAAACAAAAAGGACGCCATCAATCTGCGTGGAGCAGAGGGGAGCCGCAGCACAGCGGATGGCCCGTGTGGATTCATCACAACGAGCGGCTCCTTTCACTTTCAAAGTCATGTGATCTATTATTGAGAAATATCGATTACAGCCACTTTAGTGTGACTTGAAAATGCCAGACGCAAATGATTGCTTTTGAGAATCACCATCTCCAGTGGACTTGTTGCAAGTCTGGTTCTTTGGCTGCGACCGGCTGCCCGGCTTTAAAAACAGATTATTGCTGCCGAGCAACATTGCGATCACCAATTCTCAAATTCTGCTGAGAGCAGAGAAGCGCACACACACACACACACACACACACACGTTTGAGTTGGAGGAGTGTTACTATAGTCAGGCTCCTCGCTATCAGGTGGCAAATCTGATCTATGCATTAATCATTGTAGGAAGGCTGAATCCTGCTGTTTCTAGTCAATACACCACAGGTGGGTGAAGATGGGGGGGGCGAGGTGGGGATGGAGACAGAGAAAGACAGTGAGCGAGAAGAAAAGGGCACGTTGGTTAGGGAGAGCCGTCCCAGAGCGAAAAGGTCACCGAGAGTCAGTGCGGCTACACACCCGAGCTGGATCCTCGCCGGCTTTAACTCGCTCTGGATGAGCCTAAAAAAATAAAAAAAAAAGGTACAACTGGATTTTCACATCACCATGGAGACCGCTGATGCACCTCCTCTCAAAGTGACGCGACAATGGCACAAAAGGCCTATGGGAACGAACATGTGCAGATTTCCAGATTAGCGTTACCACGGTCAGATGGTTCGGTGGACGAGGAGGCACACACGGCGATTGATCAGAACAAAAGAGACATTTCCATAGCAAATATATATATATATATATATATATATTTTTTTTTTGTTTATTTATTATGTATTTATTTTTTTATTAATTAGGGGTGTAACGATTAATTCACTGAATCGATTAATCGATTTATATTCCTGCGATCCAACTGAATCGATCTGTGCTCCGCAAATCGGCATTCCGGACAACTTGTTTGTTTGTTTGTTTGTTAGCACTTTAGACAGGTTAAACGTTACTCGATTCAGTCTGCCTGTCTGTGACGTCATCAGTACGCAGCGGCAGCCGCGCGAAACTCGGAACAACAACAAAACACAGCGAGGAGGAGACGACTGCGAGCGAGACATTTACAAACCAACTTATCGATCCAGCGTGTGGAAACATTTGGGCTTTTGCAAACACGGAGGTGTTCTAAATAAGTCGCTCGCTGTTTGTAGAATATGTAGAAGCCAAATAAACACGACGAATCTTTCCGGCCGTCTACTAAGACGCCGTGGGATTAAACAACGCCGACAGTCAGGACCTCTAGCAGCGCTACCGCTGCAGCAGCAGAAGGTAACTCCAGCTCTGCAGACACCGAATCGAATTGTTGTTGCAATGAATCGTTACACCCCTAATATATATAATAATCACAAGTCCTGATTGATCCCAATCTTGATCCCATGGACATCATCAATAATTTTATTCTTGATATAAAAAAAACATAGTTGCTTTAGTTTACTGACTGAGTAGTTGAGGATGCTTATATTAGACTTTAGATATTAGAGTTTCTATTGAACATAAATCACTTCATTCATTCATTCACCGATGAGAGCTGCAGGCTCACAAATTGGGTTTCATTTTCTGGAGCATCTCCCTGCAGAGTCGGTTTGTAGGCTTCTCTTGTCATCGAGTTCTTGAACAATATTTCTTTTCTCATAATACGAGGAGGAAAAGCTTGTTCTGCTGCTACAGACTTCACAGCTATGATACAAAGAGTCCCTGTTGCTTGGCTTTTGAGACATAAATCTTTGGGGACCAGTGTAGGGTGACATGGATACGTCGAGTAAGAAAAATTTAAGACGACTTATTTAATCTTTTCATGACGTGTCATCCAATGAATAAAACCGTCACGAGCCAAATGTAATCCGGCATTTTCATTACGAGTCCGTCAGCAAGGGTCCAACGTGGATTTACACCGAAGACGTAAAACAATAAAGCTGCCAGCAGCTAAAAGGGACGCCGAGTCAACAAACACCGGGCGTCTGCCTGTGGGACGCAGAGAGATACCGGCTGCTGTCACACGCTGGGTCTCCCACACAAAATCCCTCATTCAGAGAAACACCTGGATGAGCACGTCACATCGAGGCAAGAAAAAAGAAAGACACGGACGCATGTGGGCCAGTTGTGGTGTTGAATTTGCGACGGACACTGGGGGGAAAAAAAAAAAGTCTGTTGTGAACTAAATAAAATGTACATCACTTCCACAATGCACCGGTTGGGTGCAAAATACTTGGTTGGTCCCTTAACAAAACTGTTGCATGGATGTGTAGTGTAGATATATATATATATATATATATATAAATTATTTTTACCTGATGAGATAATGAAGCCTGTGGCCTCGGCAGAAGAGGGGAACAGACAAGCTGCAGTCGTGAATCAACTCGAAAGGTGCATTCAAACGAAAACCCAAAGGGACCTTTTAAAAACGTCTGTCATTATTGTTCTCTTTTTTTTTTTTCTTTAAATGGAGATTTTCAGCTTGACCTTGCTGGTACAATATGGTTCCCCGTAATGGACCCTGGAGTACAACTCTACTTTCATTATACAAAGTCATGCCATTCGGTTCTCCACAGACCGTTAAGACCGACTCACTTGCATTCGGACGCAATCTAGAGATGGTTCATTCTTTCATTAATTAAGGTACATGTTTTAACATTTCATCTACATTTGTTTGCAGACAAACAGAGTTTAAATGGTGGTGAAGGATATTATTGGTGACGAATTCTATATAGCGCTGGAATTCAAATGTAGGCACTTCTGTGACGTGAAAAGTGAAAATTATTATACTCATAAAGTTGGAAACAACAAAGACTAAACTGCCTTATGACATTGTGCATCAGTAACATATTATTATTAGTTATATTTAACCTAAAAGGTTTACGCTTACATGGAATGTAGGGAGTTTCAGGAGGAGGGCCAGCGAGTAAATGAAAATGGAGGCGGCGAGATAAGACGAGACTTTGCATAGTATGCTTTGGTGTAACTTGAAACTTCTGCACACGTTAAGAGACAACTTTTAGCCAACCCAGAGCCAGCTCCCTCCCTCTTTAATGAACTTATAATAAATCAGACACCAGCATCTTGTATCCAAGAAGAGGCAACTGGAAGATGTATACGACTTGATTGCTTCCGATCAAAAACCAAGAACAAAGCGTAGACAGTAATGGACTGCGTATGGTCAAAGCTCAGGAAAACTATCATTACTTTAAAAAAAAACACTTCAGTATAACTTAAATAAGTTTTGTCCGTGCCTTAAAAGGTTTCTGAACACGAGACAATTGCACGACTATCTGTATCTGTATCCTCATTTGGGTACAGATAGTCGTTTTGCATTACACCCCTAGTATACTCCAATTTACCAATAAAACAATGTTTGAATTATGCACCACTATGTTAGAAAGAACCTTCCTCTGTTATCAAAAGCTAACAGAAATATGAGGAAAAGGTAAACAATGACTCTCAAGATGCATTCCAGCGGTGAGGCAAACATTCTTTTGGATTATTTCTCGAATAGCTACTTGTGGCACCACCTTTTCTCACCTGAGCCCCGGCCACTTAATACCCACAGGAGCCGTCAATCGTTGAAAGAAGCCGACGCAGGCCCTTTAAACTCATTTTATTTGTGACCTTTTGTGACAGTTAAACATGTTTCGAACAGGTGGGCTTCCATCTGCAGGTATAACAGGTTCTGGAACCTGGCTGCAGTCGAGTGCTTGCAAGCCAAACACCAAGCTGTCTGCGTGCACAGTCTGGGGCATGTGGACGCAGGGAAGTATGTGGACGCAGGGAAGTACGTACGCACACACGCGCACACGCGCGCACACACACACACACACACACACACACACACACACACACACACCATTTTTAAAAGCGTTGCAAGCACACTTTTAGTGTGAGCTGTGGATCCCCCTTTCCTGGAAGTGAGACCAAAAGTAAACACGGGGTCTCCTCGACGCATCATTTCTTTACAAAGCCTTCTCACCGGGTGAATCCCCGTGACGCGCACGGGGCACACGAACGAACACACACGCGCGTGAACACCCACGCAGAAGCCCCGCGTCCCCCACACGCACCAACCCACCAACACCAATTTGACCCAAACGGCGCGTTGCATGTGGCTGCGGCCGATGAGGCACCGCGGCTTCGGCGGAGGCTGCAGACCCTTCGCTCCTCGGCCGGTGCTCCAGCAGCTATGACTCATACCGCGTGCCTTCTACTGATGCTGGAGACGACAACACGGAAACGCACCGGCGAACAGCCAGCTTTGGCATCGTGCACGACCGGAGCCCGAAAAGAGGCTACCTGGAACATGTCCTTCCGCTTGTGTTCCGGCACTTACCTTTCTTTGTCGTTAGCGAAACAAACTCAGATCCTCCTCGCAGGTGTCTTCTTCTGCTGCTGCTGCTGCTGCTGGCCGGCCGGTTCGTCTCGTCCTCCTCCTCCTCCGAGACGTCGCATGTCTCCCAACGGTGCTGGTGGGGACGGGGGAAAGTCCGCGCACCGGAGCCGCTCGGTGTGACGGTGGCGGACGGACGCAGCGTTTGGTGGGGTGCAGCCTGTGGAGCGCGCGAGCGTACCTCGGAGAGTGCAGCGAGTTTGATGGATGTCGCTCGGCTTCCTCGATGGGTGGAGGGTTGACGCTGCTGCCGCATTCGGGGACTCCTCGGAAACTCGGCTTTTTCATTTGTCAGCGAGCAGCATATATATATATATATATATATATATATATATATAATCAAACTAACAAATCAAACCAACATTTTTTTTGCAATAGTTTGATTTGGGCCCTTTTTTGTTGATAACTATGCCTTGTAGCCTATCCATCTTTTAAAACTGCGTGTTTAAAGTGGTTTTGTATATGAAGTATGAAGTAAGTTATATTTGGTCAAAAAAACACCACATATGATCATGACATCAAATGTTAAATAACATAATTGATGTTTTTAGACCAAGCAGTCTTGTTTACTGCATGACTGCATGCCATCCACTTTTTTGTCCTTTTTTTTCAGTGTCCAAGATCAACAGCTGTAGACTTTTCCCATCACATAAAACTCGTTGCTCTTTTTGAGTTACTTTCTTTTTGATTGATTGAGAACTCACAATTCACCATAATTTGAAGCATGAAATACGAAATGGAAAGCTAATCATTTTTGTTGCATGTGAAGGCAGCATCGCGTGTGTGTAACCTGAAAAGACATGAGCCCACAGGGTCCTAGCGCCGGCACAACACTTCCCACTTCACTGTGCCCTAAATGTTCAACAGGTGGAAACGCAACATTATCCAAAGACTCCTTGGTTGGGAGGTAAGTGGCTAAAGAACTTAAAAACAGATGTACTGTTACTGCTTGATATTATAACAATCTAACCAAAGAGAATCTTTAACTCATTTTGACGAGTTACATTTTGTTATACATGTTATGGATGAATAAATAATTGATCTAATAGAGTTTATTGTACACAGTCATTATATTCTTACACATCAGAGTCTGAATATCTCACTACGGTCCACTTTTTCCACACATTTAGGGCAGCCACCAGCTGCCTGGGTTTTCAGCAATATACCATTGATTTCTGGCATCAGTTATTTTCAGCTATAAATGAGTGTGTCCACTTTTGACAGTTGTGACAAATAAAAACGCTTTGCGTTTCCTCGACATTGTTACATCCTATGGAAAAATTCAATACATTGTACATTGTAAAATGGCCTTTAAGCAATGTCAGCTTGAAATCAGAAAGAAAATTTAATATTATAACACACAAAATCTCATTTATCAACAAGAGTACGTAATACTCTATCCTTGAAACTTCCAAGTAGACATTTAGAGTAAATGGAATAACAGTAGAAAATTGCCAAATAGCAGATCTTAAGAATAATCGTTTTGTAAAGTAAAATACAGGATGAGGCCAGTATAATCATGTGCAAATGCATTAAAAAAACATCAATGAACTGCTGTATGTAGGACAAAAATGACTTAAGTATAAATTAATAAATACATGAATTAATGTAGATGCAGAAATACATGTATAAATAAATGCTGGTTTCCCTCGGTACGTAGTCGTAGCAGGTCCAGCCACCCCGGATAACCTGAAGATGTTTCTGTTCGGGAACAAAGCACCAGTGCAGAGCATAGAGATGAATTTTATTTTCTCCCTCAAGGTTGGTAAAGATGGTGTAGAAGAGATCAAGTATAGGGTAGAAAGGCTCTCCAGAGCCTTTCTATCCTATCTACTGGATATCTACTATCTACTGTAGCAAAGCTCTCCACCAGACAATAGAAATAGAAGGTTAGTCTAGGGTTAACACTGTTGGAATCTCAGCTGATCAGTTTAAAACTGTGCACAAGTAAATAATCAAACAAATAAAAATGTTACGGCGGCAAATCACTGTCAAAATTCGAGAGCGCAAATCAGGTTCATGCGGCCCGTAGATGACAACCAGCTACAACCATAATTTATCATCATTACTGGCACTCCTCCGGCCGCACCTTAAGACCAATGCGTCTAGCTCGCAGAACGGTCCGTATTAGTAAAATCAAGTCTGAATCTATGAATATTTTGCCAATTTTCAATCCGTATTGATGAAAATGCTGATCTGGTCTTTTATAGTCATCAGCATTTTTCCTACCCCTACAGTCTGCGTCAAACCATATTATGGCTGGAAGAAACAACAAAAGGGTTGAGTCTGGGCGTCCTCAGGGACATATAGCGCCAGCCCTCAAAGTACCAAATCTGAAAATTGCTCTAACAGAAGCAAACAAGGAGATCTCCTGTCTGATGGAGCTGGTAAGTGAACTACGGGATACAGGAGAAAAAATCGCTGACTGCAATGGAGAAATTCCGCACACAGGCCAATGCTGACAAAGAGAAAATAAGCCACCTTCAAGAGTGTCTTAATGAATGTATGAAAGATCTGAAGGTTACCGCAGACATGACATTCCTGGAGGACGAAAACAGGATCCTGTATGAGACAGAACGCAGCAATGAGATTGATATCCGACAAGTGAAGAGCGAAAACAAGGTCCTTAAGGACATCTGCCTCAAAATGAAAAAGAAGAATAGAAGCATCTTTAGCAGAAAGATGGAGGACAAAGTTGGAGAAAATGAAGACACAGCTGAATATGGAGACGTCGTTCTTTAACCAGATAGTCAAGGTCTTTGCTTGCTAAACTTCCTACATACACACACACACACACACACACAGAAACACAAACACACATACACTCACCTAAAGGATTATTTGGAACACCATAGTAATACTGTGTTTGACCCCCTTTCGCCTCCAGAACTGCCTTAATTCTTTGTGGCACTGATTCAACAAGGTGCTGAACGCAATCGTTAGATAAGTTGGCCCATATTGATAGGATTGCATCTTCCAGTTGATGGAGATTGGTGGGATGCACATCCAGGGCACGCAGCTCCCGTTCCACCACATCCCAAAGATGCTCTATTGGGTTGAGATCTGGTGACTGTGGGGGCCATTTTAGTACAGTGAACTCATTGTCATGTTCAAGAAACCAATTTGAAATGATTCAAGCTTTGTGACATGGTGCATTATCCTGCTGGAAGTAGCCATCAGAGGATGGGTACATGGTGCCATACACGTCTGCCTGTGTCATTAATTTCTATTTTTCTCAGGTCAGTAACCGGTCAAGTGCATTAAGAAAATTTGAATAAACAATTTTAGATGGTCGGATTTAACTACCTAATATTTTCAGGAATTATTGGGTTTTGTTTAGTAACTAATGTTATGTTGTTAAGAAAGACCGACTGCTGAGCGCTAGCTAGAATGCTAGTAGCCCTGTGTAACCTCCTTTTTATCTGGCTCCTATACATTAATGTAATTGTAAAGGAAAAGTATAATCACTTCGTTTTGTTATGTGCTGTGATGTTAGGTCGACTTGGATTTTGTATGTTAACTCAGTTAACTGCAATATGTGTTTAAAAATGTCTATTAGCATGTGTTAGCCGTAGCAGAAGCAGCGCCGGCCTCTTCAATGGTGTCCTTCTCACGTACGCCACAGTAGCTGTGGGCACCTTGACAAAGTCACGGTTATGCTGTCAAAAGAGGAGGGATTTAATCCATGATACTGATGCAATCCTCTATGGTTTGGTCTGTGAATTTGTATTGTTTGTATTTTGAAGTATGTTGTCTGGCTCAAATGTAGACATGTGGATATGCTTGCTTTCACCTAAATTGTGAAATAAATTGTCATTGCTTGGGAAGACGCTGACAGAAGAAGCCACACGTCTGCCTGTGTCATTAATTTCTATTTTTCTCAGTTGGTCTCAGGCACAAGTCTGTCATCAGGCTTTCTCATCCTGAGACTTTTAACATTCTCATTCTGTTTACGCCAAATTTTGAGTCTAAATTCTGACTCTACCATCTGAACGTATCAACAGAAATTGAGACTCATCAGACCAGGCAACATATTTCCAGTCTTCAACTGTCCAATTTTGGTGAGCTCTTGCAAATTGTAGCCTCTTTTTCCTATTTGTAGTTGAGATGAGTGGTACCCGGTTGGGTCTTTTGCTGTTGTAGCCCATCCGCCTCAAGGTTGTGCGTGTTGTGGCTTCACACATGATTTGCTGCATACCTTGGTTGTAACGAGTGGTTATTTCAGTAAAAGTTGCTCTTCTATCAGCTTGAATCAGTCGGCCCATTCTCCTCTGACCTCTAGCATCAACATGGCATTTTCACCCACAGGACTGCCGCATACTGGATGTTTTCCCCTTTTCACACCATTCTTTGTAAACCCTAGAAATCCCAGTAAGTGAGCAGATTGTTAAATACTCAGACCGGCCCGTCTGGCACCAACAACCATGCCACGCTCAAAATTGCTTAAATCACCTTTCCTTCCCATTCTGACATTCAGTTTGACGTTCAGGAGATTGTCTTGACCAGGACCACACCCCTAACTGCATTGAAGCAACTGCCATGTGATTGGTTGATCAGATAATTGCATTAATGAGAAATTGAACAGGTGTTCCTAATAATCCTTTAGGCGAGTGTACAATATAATACATATTTTTGTAAACAACCTAAATTTCAATAGATAATCTTGTTTACAAGTGCACCTGGAGGAAAACAATAACATTTACATTCCCCCTCTCTCAGCCATGATCTACCTCAACAGCAAATCTGGTTTGTGAGCTCCTATTAAGAATAAAGGCCGTGGTCCACAACTGTACATATTTAAATTCTTCTCATAACAGCATCTCCACATCAGACCAATAGTCCAGTGACTTAAGCGGCGGGACACACTGGCTGGATTTGGACTCCTTGGGACCATAGTTCCAGTTCCTTCTGAGCCGGACCCGTCCTCAGCCTCACAGGGGGCTCTGGTTGAGCTCCACAGCTCTGTGTGTGTTTCTACTGACGCGTGCGGGGGGGTAGAGACAGGTCGGCCGTTAGCTTGTGAATGCCGTATGTGTCGTATGTGTACAGACTGTAAAGCCCCCTGAGGCAAATTTGTAATTTGCAATTTTGGGCTATACAAAATACAATTAATTGAATTTAATTGAATTTAATTTAATGTTCAATCACTACAGAATTCAATTTTGGGGGGAGGTTTCTCAAAATAATGTACATGCAACTCAGTTTGTGGCAGCCTTTTTTGGGCCCTAAGGCAGAGGTCTTCAACAGGGGGTCCGCAGAGGTACTGCAGGGGAGTCGCGAAATTTTTGGTTGAGAAAACAATTTTTTTTTTCCACAAATTTAAATGTCTTCAGAATCAGAATTGTATTTATTGTCTTCTTTATTTGTTACACATTAACATAAATCCAACATATTGTAGCGAACGGATAAATTAATGGAGAATACATCTTTCAGTCTGCAAAACACACATCCAGCTTCCCACAGCAGCTCTCAAGCTGGGCACCGGTTCATTCACAGCACCTTTCATGCTGTTACGACAGCAGAGGCACTAGCCAATCAGATCACGTTCATGCTCACGTAAAAGCAAAAATAAAAGATGGCGGACGAAACTCTGTAGAATAGGGGGTCCCTGCTCCATCTCGCCATCAGTTTGGGGGTCCTTGGCTTGAAAAACTTTGAAGACCCCTGCCCTAAGGGATTGGCCGTCTCAAAATCGTCATAGTACAGCTGAAGCTGTAAAGCATTCTCCTCCAAAGAAAATAATCAATTACTTTTCACATATGCGCCATCACCAATGTCTTCATAGAAGCCATCTTTATGTACTTTTAACAAGGCACGACAAAGCGAACAGGTAAAGAAGCAACTTTAAATGCTGAAAAGAAACTTTAAAGCAGAAACCAATAACACCCAGCTAGACAGTGTGCATTCATGGCAGCTGTTACATGCCTGCAGAGCTTTTCTTGTGTGTTGTTCTGCCCCTCCTCCTTGTCTTGCAGGTGCTTCCCGGATCCAGAGGTAATGGAGGTGATTGGAGTCCACCTGTGCAGAGTTTGCCAGCTGTGGCTCACACTCGCTCTTTCCGGCCAATCGCTGTCGTGGGCTGCACACAAAAGAGGCACACTCTGGGCTCTCAAGGGGGGGGCTGTCTCATTTCTAATGACGAAGTTGAACACCCTCGGCCAAAGATTGATGATGAGTTTGCAATCGTATCGTGTGATCTGAGGCCACATGTTCTGGACACTCAGGTAAAGAGAGGGGCAGAGCTGTCAACAGATCACCATCTGGTGGTGAACAAACTCGGGACAGACCTGGTAAACCTAAGCGTGTAGTGCGGGTGAACTGGGACCATCCGACTGAAGGAGGCCTTCCGGGTTATGATATCTGGTGGGACTCCCGGGGCAGTTGCAGGCTCGAAGGGCAGCAGCGTCTGCCGTGATTAAGGCAAAGCAGCGAGTGTGGGAGGTGTTTGGGGTAACTATGGAGAAGGATTTTCGGTTGTCACTAAAGTGCTCCTGAAAGACCATCCAGCAACTCAGAAGAGGAAAACGGGGAACCATCCAAGATGTGTACAGTAAGGATGGGACCCTGTGGGCCGCAACTGAACACTTTGAGTGTGCCAAGTGCAAGGGGGCCCTTCTCGGGGCCATCCAATCACTGTACGTCACCAATCTTGTTTGGGGTTTTCATGAACATGACATCGAGGCCTAGTCGGGGGGAGGAGGGTCTACAGTTTGAGGGGGCTGCGGATTTCATCGCTGCTTTTTGCACATGATGTGGCCCTGATGGCATCTTCTGTCTGTGACCTCCAACTCTCACTGGAGCAGTTTGCTGCCGATGGGATGAGGATTAGCACCTTTAAATCTGAGGCCATGGTTCTCAACAGGAAACCAATGGATTGCCTACTCTGGGTAGGGAATGTGTCCTTACCCCAAGTGAAGGAGTTAAATTACCTTTGGGTCGTGTTTACAAGTGAGGGGAAGATGGAGTGTGAGCTTGCCCGGAGAATCGGAGCAGCGGGGGCGTTAATGCACTCGATCTACCGGTCAATCTTCGTTCCTACCCTCACCTATGGTCATGAAGGATGGGTCATCCTTCATGACAGAACTACACTAACGAATTTTCCCGTTCATTTACAGTAATCTACTGGCAGCCACATTCCCTGTATTCTACTGTAATTCTACAGCATACATACTGTAATTACTTCCGTTTTTCTTCCGGCCTGTGTGCTGCCTGAACGGCTCCTGCCTTTGCAAACGCAGCGCTGGTACTTGACCTGTGATCTGACAAATAAATTTCCCAGAACGAGAGAAGTCGTTCGGCTGAATTTTTGATAACCCCGACCTGGCTCCAATTCTTGGACACATCGCTCATGACGTCCACCTTAATTGTCCGGTTGTGATTATCTCGCATTGCCCCATCGATAATTCCATTAACATAGACGATCAACAGCTTTATCTTCTATTGCACTTTGTAGTGTTGTTCTTTGTGAATCAAGCATGTTACTGCTGCTGACCGTTTACTTTCACAAATGTCAAATACTTTCCATTTTGAACCAAACCTTCTTACTGGCCTTCAGTTATTCTCTCTGTCCATCTGACTGGCAGCATCTTAGTCGTCATGGACACCAAGCGCCTCTGCAGACACGAGAGGTGCCAAAGCAAACGCTCTAACCGCTCCTGAATACACACTCACACACCCGAACGTGCTTAGTAACTATTAGTTGATACAAAGTGAATATGTTTGGGTCTGTGCTTTACACAATGAATCACGCAAATGTGTACACGTTTGTGTGTGATGTGGGCATGTTTGAGTAATTTCCCATTTCATCATGCATGTTCAGGATCAAAGTTTTTATCACCAACCCAACCTGTTGCTATGGAGACATGAGAGTGGATTCAGCTTGTCATCTATCTTTGGCCAGATGTTGAGGGTGTCTTGTTCAATAAGAATGGAAGAAAACACAGGAGAAAAGAAGAACTGGAGATAACCGCAAATATATTTGAGGAAAGTACAGAGAGGTATGTCTGGTATTGGGTGAACAATAAGTTAGAGGTTATGATGCAACCCTGAATAAAACATACAGCTTGTCCAATGTCCATATTTTTTACATTTCCTAAAGAGCACAAAAGTATTGGACGGGACAGCAAGGCCCATAACAGGAAGTCAGAAGCTGAGCTAAAAAGACCAACCAATGAATAAGACAAAATTAGTAAAACGGTGAGGACAGTCACTGGCACTGAATAAATATTCGGCCAAGGGAGACACCTGGTGGGGAAAGACAGGCGAGACAAAGAAGCCCAACCAAGCTCAACAAGTAGAGACAAGTCAATAGCCCGAAGATGTCCCCTTTTGCCGAGAGGCTAAACGGACTGTTACATCCCAAACTCTTCCCTCTGTTGCACCGGTACTAGAAAAGGTACAAAAGGAAAACAAAACGATTTTGAATATTTTTAGTACCGGTACTTAAAAAAAAGCACGCAATCGGAGCGCACTCACTGTTCCGCGCGCATTGACTGCGGGGCTGCGCAGCTCTCACACGTGCATCAGGCAGCCGTCACTCACAGCGAGTTATCAGGGGGAACCTCCTGCTTCAAGTCCAGCCCGGCAAAGGGAGGGAACACTTCAAATATGGCTAAGCACCTATCAGACAGACATGCCGAACTTTTCAGAGTTTCAAAGAACGACAGGTTAGCAAATGTGATTATAAACACGAACACCCATATGCAGCCTAACACGAGTAGCCTTAGCCTGGTTTAGCTCGGGTGACCAGACCTCTTTTACCCGGACGCATTTTTTAGGTCTCAAAAAAAGGAAATGTCCGGGTAAAAGAGGGCGTCTGCTTTGTATTGTGCTGCACTTGCTTGATGTTTGACTGTTTATTGATTTAATATTCATTCACTATTCATTCATATGTTATATTTGATTCACAGTGGAGGCATATACACCCCTTACTCCAAAATAAGCCCCTGACAAAGGCGTTTAACACTCATTCAAAATTAAAATGAATAATTTATCTATTTGTTCCACGACAGCCAAGAATTCAGCGGAACTGTCTATACCAGAGCCCAGCTGCACCAACACGGAATGTTTTTGTGCAACACCTCCGAACGCGGAAGTGAAACGCCGCTGCCTTGTTTATGTCTCCGTCGCTGCCCCGAGTAGCAAACATCATTCGGTGAAGCAGGATGGCGGTGAGCGCCGTGCACCTGGAGTCGGACGCCTTCCTCGTGTGTATGAATCACGCGTTGAGCACGGAAAAGGAGGAGGTGATGGGTCTGTGCATCGGCGAGGTGGAGATCGCCAAGATCGTCCACATCCACTCCGTCATCATCCTCCGCCGCTCGGACAAGAGGAAGGACCGCGTGGAGATCTCCCCGGAGCAGCTGTCGGCGGCCTCCACGGAGGCGGAGAGGCTGGCCGACATGACCGGCAGGCCGATGCGGGTGGTCGGCTGGTACCACTCCCACCCGCACATCACCGTGTGGCCCTCCCACGTCGACGTGAGGACACAGGCGATGTACCAGATGCTGGACCAGTGCTTCGTGGGCCTCATCTTCTCCTGCTTCATAGAGGACAAGAACACCAAGACGGGCCGGGTGCTTTACACCTGCTTCCAGTCCGTGAATGCGCAGAAGGGCTCCGAGTACGAGCGCGTCGAGATCCCCGTGCACGTCGTGCCGCGCGAAGCCATCGGCAAGGTGTGCCTGGAGTCGGCCGTGGAGCTGCCGCGGATCCTGTGCCAGGAGGAGCAGGACACCTACCGCAAGATCCACAGCCTGGCGCACCTGGACCCCGTCACCAAGATCCACAACGGCTCGGTGTTCACCAAGAACCTCTGCAGCCAGATGTCCGCGGTGAGCGGGCCGCTGCTGCAGTGGCTGGAGGACCGGCTGGAGCAGAACAAGCAGAGCATCGTGGAGCTGCGGCAGGAGAAGGAGAGGCTGCTGCTGGAGCTGGCTGCTGTGTGAGCCGGGAGGACTGTCTGTCAGCCACCTGTTTGTGCTTGTTTATAGGTTTTTTGTTTTATTGCAACCGGAAAATGTCCGTAATATGAGGAGGAATCAAATACTTTCAAATTACAAAAGGGTTGCACGGTAGTCTGGACTGCTTGTTTTTGTTTAGAAATGCTCTGAATCTCTACTTTGTGACATAACATTTAGGGAAATCGTCTTACAACTGTGCGGCCGCAAATAACGTTTATTTTCACTGACTAATAAACTGCCAAATATTTTCTCACTCCCTTGATCAATTATTTGTTAAAGTATCCCTGAAAATACCTTCTTTTGTCATAAGGTCCTCAATTTACAATCATTAAACGATGTAAACTCTTGAAATGCTAATATTTAAGAGGCTGGAACCAGATTATTTCCCACAATTTTGCTTGAAAAATTAATTTGAGAACTGTTAAATACCAAATTTTTGTTCTATAAAATCAACTAATCAATGAATGAACTCATTGTTTCAGCTCAAGTCCCCACAGCTGCTGTGCTTGTATGCTTTGTAATTAGCACAACAAAACAAGCACAGCGTCTTACGTCAAGTGATGGATGTCTCAATGTGAGCCTTTAGAAATGAAGACTACTACGGGATTCATTAACGTTAGCATGAAACGGGTCATTTTGCCAATATTTTGTTAACCTATCGTAGGCAGTCTGACTAATCAATCAATGGGTTCTCATTTTCGTTATTTTGAGTTCTATAGCATGCACAGTCAGCGCATATGTCCTGTTGTTGTCTGTCGAAGGAATGTTCCGTTTAATGAGCGGCATGTCAGTCTGTCCGAGGCATGTTTTCATCATATGAACGGCATGTCAGTCTGTCCGTGGCATGTTTTCATCATATGAACAGCATATCCGTCTGTCCGAGGCATGTTTTCATCATATGAACAGCATGTCAATCTCAGTGATTGCATGTAGTACTCATGAACCTTATGATAGTCTTACTTAACCATTTTCCACTAACATACAATAGGATTTATCGGAGTGTTTTTCCCTTTTCCATCTGATTAAAACCTGTGTTTTAAATATGACTAATACTACCACATTTTCCGACATCGATCGAGTCTTCAGCGGCAGTGTCCTTTTCCTGCCAGGAGGGAGCGTTAATGGACCAACTCTGTTAACTTGTCAGTCAGAATTAAGATCAGAACGTGTTTTATTTCCCCAGTATGTGCACACGTACTAATTTGAGTCCGGTTACATGTGGTCTCAATGTACACACACAGTTCATACAATAAACAAGAATATATTAAGTAATTGAATTAGAATAATAATTAGAAAAGAATTATTTATAAATACATATATCAAAAGTTTACATTTAGTTGACTTTAGTTTTTTGAAGTCAAATATAATAAAGTCAAACACCTTTGTGAAGGAATCATTTCAAACCATTACTGATATATTCAATTTTTAAAAACATTTTTCAAGATACACAGCTCAGCGTGGAGCTGTTGGAGGAAATCTTTGTGGAGGCTGTTCTCCTAGATGGCGACACCGTGGCAGGGTCATTAGCGTGTGCAGAAAATGGAAGGGCAACTGTGTGTTTTAGAGGGAGGCACAATATCGATGGCTGTCGAGCAGAGGTGTCCACACTTTTCCAGTAAATGGTGGCGGTTTGAGAAATCTCTCAAAGCTTTGTCTTTCTTTCCCAGGTGTGGATCCAAATACATTTTCCGACAGCTACCAAAATGAATTGAGAAGAATGTACACACTTGAACCATGTTCATTCAAATTTTTTCTGTAGGTATTAAAGTAAAGTTTGTGCTGCAAAACCATGTGTTACGTCATAGGCTTTTGATACATGTCTTTTTACCGAGACTGTTAAATCAGGTTGAATCAAGACTTGTGTTGTTAAGATAAGATATTCCTTTATTTGTCCCACAATGGGGAAATTTACAGGATCGCGGCAGCAAAGTGAACAAGATACATGGTAACAAAAAAAGAGAAAATCATTATAATGATAATAATCAAAAAAGACAATAAGATTAAAAAGAAAATACAAAAGAAAATAAGCGAGTGCAAAGGCCCCAGTAACTAAGTACTGTAAATAGTAATCTATCTCCATGCTTGTCCAAGTGGGACAATAAGGGTTAAGGTTAGAGGTCCATCTTTCAAGCTATGTATTCACTTTATACACAAAACAGTATGCTTCGTATGTCAGCACTGTGTAGTAAAATAATTCAGTGATGAATCAGATTAATGAACAAAACAGTCCTTTGTCTGTACCAAAAAACCCACAATAATAAAAAAAATGACACCCTGCTTATTTAAGCTCCAAATCACCGACAAAACATAAAGTGTTACAGTGCAGATATAGAGCACACAGGACACCACATGGTTGAATATCGGCTTGGTTGCATTACTAAAGGAGCTGTATCTAATTTGTAAAAGCTCTCTCTCTCTCTCTTGGCTGATCTAAACTGCCGTTGTTTCCTGGGGAAACTTCAGTTAAATCATTGTGTACTACATTGTGTCACAAAACTTGGCTGTTGATCCATAATAATAAACACCAAGTCCAGCATAGAGTGGCTGACTGAATCTGGTCTGTTCTCTGAAAAGGAAAGTGATAGTGTCAGAGACCTCGTAAAAGGACAGAATCCCTTTCTTGTGGTCCAGGAACACCCCTACTTTGGAGGCGCAGGGCTTTGCAAATGACTTTTTCTTTCTGTTGCGGTTGTGCTTGAAATTATAAGTTATACTATGTTCTTGGTTCAAAACCTCTAATGCCCAAGACCTGTCATTCTCACCAAATACACTGCAAGCTCCTGTTCTGGCGATGTCCCTGTATGCAACTGCTACTGAAACTCCTAAGCCACTCCACTCCACTTCCCAGTAATGACGCCCAGACAGGCCTGTTTTACACAGAGCCTGAGACCTCCCCATGAATCTGTCTGCGTGAGCACCATACGGCTGTTGATCTTTTGTACATGTGGCTTTCCTGTTCCCTTCCGATAACGACATCTTCATGCTCGCCGTGTTTTGATCCAGTTTGAAACATTTTGCATACTGTAAGAATTCAGCTCTCGGTTCTGGTAGTGGGAAAACATTCACCTCGGCCACACACCTTGAGATGTTGGTCCACTCCTTGGTACAGCTGGTTTGTAGTGTGTCTCTGGCCGCAGAAACAGAAGCAGTCACTTCCTCAAAGTATTGCAAAGGGCCCGTGTTGAAGATTGGCACGGTGGTGGATTTTGGGAGCGGTGTCAGCAAGGCGTACTTGTGCAGAAACTGGGTCGGATCGTCTTCGGCCGACAGCTTCTCCAAATCAATTTTGTTCTTCCTCAGATCAGCGATCTCCAGCTTCAGCTTCTCCTGAAGCTTTTCGGCCCAACTCACTTCAATTCCCTGCTGCAATTTGATCTTGCGCGTCACACCAGAGCTCCTTTTCTGGATAAGTGTAATCAGCTCAGTAGACATCTTCTCACTGTCCTCCACTGCTTTATCAGCAGAGCGATTGAGGGCGTCCATCTTCTGCTGAAGAGCAATCACATCTTTCTCTTGACTCTGGATTCTCTGGTGGATTTCTTGTTGTCTTTTTCTGAGCTCTTCCTGCTTCTCGGGCACTTCTTTTGAGACAGACACTATGCTGTGGCCTTTGTGTTCAGTCGTAAAGCAGCTCACACAGATACGCTGCTGATCAGTGCGGCAGAAGATGTTTTTCTCCTCATTGTGTTGACTACAGATGTTTTCATGGCGCTTTGAAGCTTCCACCAGACTGTGTTTCTTCAAGGGCCCTTCGTAGTGAGGCTGGATGTGCTCCTGACAGTAGGAGAACTTACACTGCAGACAGGATTTGAAAGCTTTCCGTTTTGTCCCATTGCAGAAATCACATTCCACGTTCTCAGGTCCGGCAACACATCGATATCCTTGCTGTGCCATTTCCCCTCTCAGTGCTGGTGAGTGTGTAAATATCAAAATGCTGAGAGGGAACGGGGAGCGGTTTTAAGATGTCTTCAGAAAGAGGAGGGGTCAGGATTACCTTGGGTGTGTTCTTCCACTTCAACGTTCGAGTCAACGTTCAATAATTACAGACAAGACTTAGTTTACTGCATGAATGTTTTATGATGTTAAGTGAAACTGGAAGTATTTGTCGGGATGAAAAGTCAGTGGTAGAACTGGTTACATGTCTTTCTTTTCTTTGAAATGAATTGCTGTCTGCTGGGTGCCCTGGCAACTATTCTCATTTTGCTCCTGTGTGATCCTAAAATCCTACAATAGGCATGGGTAAGTTGGCCAGTTTGGAGGATAGGCAGTCCCCATCTGTCAACTGGTTTAAACTTTAACATGGTATGTCAACGCTGTTGTACAATATGATGTAAAAGCCAATAACGCGACCAATAAACAAATAAAATATGAGATCATCTCCCTACAGATGGAATGCCGTCCATCTGTAGGGAGAATCATTGAGTGAACTGCCAAAAAGACCCCAAAGAGGGATCATATGGGCAGATATAAGGTTTGTATATATAATTCAAGGCAAGAACTACAGCACAGTTTACTGCCTGATTGTGATGTTAAGCGAAACTGGAAGTATTTGTCGAGATATATTTCACAACAACATTTGGCCTCAGGAATGTTGCAATGATGAATATGGAAAACATGCAAAGGAGTGGTTGTAATGAGGGACTACGTGTCCACGGAGAAATAATCGCTCATGTGCGTACTTTACTTCCTTTGAGCTTGTGATATCAAAAGTCAGGGCTCACGCAGGTGCATTTTGAATTTCTCCGGTATGTAATCCGACCACATAAGAGTTTCCAGTAGTGATGTTCGATACCACAGATTTCCTTTCCGATCCGATACTGAGTAAAATTCAGGCTGGTATCGGTGATACTGATCCAATACCGATACTTTGTGCATGGTAGAGCTAAAAAAAGTAGTGTATTTTAAATACATAGCTTAAGAATACAAGACATCATAGCCACTTATTTAGTTAGTTATTTTAAACTTTAAACTAAAAAGGTAGCGGCCTCATTCACAATATAGCCGAGCTATTACAACAACGGAAAAACAAGAGTGTTTGAAAAAGGTGTTTCCATCACTAAAAAAAGATCATAAGTAAAATAATAAAACCATTAGAATAATTATCAGAATAATAAACAAAAACGAGAACCACTATAAAAATGAAAGTTTGCATCTTAATTCACATTACATGAACATGCTAACAGGAAAACACTTCAACAAAAGCATCCAACATTGACACTTTCCATCATTCACAAGTTTTTGTTAAGGAACAACAGCATGTTTACTGTCTTCCCCTTAAGTCTGTTCCGTTTTTTGCTTAGAACCTCTCCTGCCTTTGAAAAGACTCTCTGCTGGTACCGAAGTGGCAGTAATTCCCAGGTATCTCACTGCTAGTTTGCTCAGGGCTGGGAAAGGTTTGAGCACGTTCTTTCCACCAAACCAGTGCATCCCTGTCTCTGGGAATCACTTTTTCTTCTGAGTACCGACGTACTTCAATGAGCACATCACTGGTAGCTCCACACATGACTTCAGCCATTCTCTGTCTGAGAGAGCGAGCAGCAGCGTCAGCGTGCCACTGCGTTTACGTATTAGGCACTTACCCAGGCGGAAGAAAAAGTAGTCTCTACCAGCGGCGTGTCATTTAGACAAGACCTGAATAGTTTAGTTACTTTCCACCAAATTGCTGTTAATGATATACATTACCACAAATTACTGAAGTATCAAAAGTATCAATATTTCCATTTAAAAATCGATTTTAGAGCATACAGAGCTGGTATCGGAAGTATCGATGTTTCAGTATCGATCCGCACATCACTAGTTTCCAGGTTAGACCCGAGGTGTCGGCCTGTGGGGACGCCCACCCTGGATTTCGGCGGCCATGGATTGACGTGATGCTTGCACGCCTCACAGTGCACAGTGCAGATCCCACACATTCTTGGTCGTTACCTGGCTGGAGTCAGCCTGGGTTGCTTTGGAATTAAATGAAATGCGTCCGTTAGTAAGCAGGGATCACTAATTAGCATTGGCATAAGTTTCGCTCATCTCTCGCGGTAGACCGCACATGCGTGACGTGGCGTCATTTCATAAAAATCCATGGCACCCCTGATGTAGAGTATCTATGCTTATCTAGTTATGTTGGTATTTGTATATATCTATGATTGTCTGTGTGCGTGGGGGAAGAAATCTCTCAAAGCTTTGTCTTGTTTCCCAGGTGTTGTGGATCCAAATACATTTTCCGATAGCTGCCATAATGAATTGAGAAGAATGTACACACTTGCTGCAATTTTTTTTCTGTAGGTATTGAAGTAAAGTTTGCGCGACATAACCATGTGTTTAACCATGGGGGTGATGGTGGTGCAGGGGTAGAGCGGGAGCGTTGGGAACCTGCAAGGTTGGCAGTTCGGTTCCCGACTGCTCCATGTCCCATGTCAAAGTGTCCCTGAGCAAGACACCTAACCCCTAATTGCTCCCTGGGCGAAATGTAAAAAGCCATGGGTTACAAATGTAATGAAAGTCGCTTTGGATAAAAGCGTCAGCTAAATGACCTGAAATGTAATAATGGTAGAGAGGCTGGACGTGGTCCTGACAGTAGGAGAACTCAGACAGACAGGATTTGAAAGCTTTCCGTTTTTCTCCCATTGCAGAAATCACATTCCACGTTCTCAGGTCCGGCAACACATCGATATCCTTGCTGTGCCATTTCCCCTCTCAGTGCTGGTGAGTGTGTAAATATCAAAATGCTGAGAGGGAACGTGGAGCGGTTTTAAGATGTCTTCAGAAAGAGGAGGGGTCAGGATTACCTTGGGTTTGTTCTTCCACTTTAGTCAACGTTCAATAATTACAGACAAGACTTGCAACATAGTTTACTGCATGAATGTTTTATGATGTTAAGTGAAACTGGAAGTATTTGTCGGGATGAAAAGTCAGTGGTAGAAATGGTTACATGTCTTTCTTTTCTTTGAAATGAATTGCTGTCTGCTGGGTGCCCTGGCAACTATTCTCATTTTGCTCCTGTGTGATCCTAAAATCCTACAATAGGCATGGGTAAGTTGGCCAGTTTGGAGGATAGGCAGTCCCCATCTGTCAACTGGTTTAAACTTTAACATGGTATGTCAACGCTGTTGTACAATATGATGTAAAAGCCAATAACGCGACCAATAAACAAATAAAATATGAGATCATCTCCCTACAGATGGAATGCCGTCCATCTGTAGGGAGAATCATTGAGTGAACTGCCAAAAAGACCCCAAAGAGGGATCATATGGGCAGATATAAGGTTTGTATATATAATTCAAGGCAAGAACTACAGCACAGTTTACTGCCTGATTGTGATGTTAAGCGAAACTGGAAGTATTTGTCGAGATATATTTCACAACAACATTTGGCCTCAGGAATGTTGCAATGATGAATATGGAAAACATGCAAAGGAGTGGTTGTAGTGAGGGATTACGTGTCCATGGAGAAATAATCGCTCATGTGCGTACTTTACGCACGAAAGTCAGGGCTCCAGCACTGTCCCAAACATGGATGTGAAAGGTACTAGCAGTTGTGTGTTCTAACTGGATATTGTGTTCGGAAGAAATTAAGAAATGTGTAGCTTTTAGTTTCCAAAGGATCTCTAAATATGGGATGAGATTTTACTGGATATACTCAACTGCCCTGAAATGCATAAAGACTCTTCAGACGATTCAAGGGTGACCAGCAGGGCAAACGGTTTAGCAGTCGCCCAACTGAAGTACGTTTTAATCGAATAAAAGAATAGCAATAATTGACAATAAGACAGGGCGATTATTGAGCAGTTCTCTTGCTTTACAGTGACGGCGTGCTTTGTCCATGTTTATTGGCTCGCTGTCGCCTGGGGGACTTTTCTACTTTTCACTGTTTGGAAGGACGCCCTGATCCTCGTCTGCTGGTGTGGGTGTCGTGGACAAGGGGGTAAGCGGGGGCAGCGGGGCCTGGACGGGCGGGATGAGGTGGCCTCCCTCACGGGACTGGAAGCCAGTGTGGGTGGGCCCTTTGAGGGTGGGCAAGCGGGCGAGAGGGGGCAGCGGGGCCCGGCCTGGGGGCAGGACGTGGCCTCCTTGACGGGACAGGAGGACAATCTCTCTCCTGAGGGCTTCGGCCTGCTGGGATTGGCTTCTCACCAGCACCTGGAGCTTCCGAATATCCTCCTTGTCCACACGTCTCCTGCTATCCTCAAACGTTCTGTCCTGGATACACAAAACAGATAATTATTATAAAACAGGAAGTATACAGATGGACAGGCACATGAAAACTGTCTCTATATCCTCAAAGGGGGCCTTGACAGAAGACGTTTGAGAACCACTGACCTAAACTAACTAACATACTCTCAAATATGTCAAAAAATGATCACCTAATATAATAGCAACACATAAGCAGCTGCATACTTTCATACTCAGCCATTAGTGGCTCTTCCAGCATCTTTGGGTATCTAGTGTACGAGCTACTGAATGCGGCACTATATTCACCAGCTGCGCTTAAAGGAATTTAAATGAAGGGGATAAAATATGATACCTCATGTTCTAAACAATGGGTGTGATCGCTGGCAGGAAATGTCTCCTGTTAAACATGTTCATCCTCATTTCATCCTCGAGTCCACTTTCACTTTCATTAGAGTTGAAATGTGTCTACGGCCGGAAGGACGGAAACCCCAAAAACACAAAGCCTCGTTCAAGGCTCTCCGGACGTGGAAGTATAAGCAAGGTCACTGTAAAGTTAAAATCTACTGTATTACATCGTAGTTCCCGGTTTTGATCAATATTACATATGAAATCATTTCTAAATCACACATAAATCACCAATTTCTTCTGTCTGGCATCAATGTTTTGCTCCAGTTGCTTTTTCTTGTCCAGGAGGTTGGTCTTGCAGAAGAGAAGCTCTGTGTTACACCTGGTGACCTCCATCAGAGCTTCCTGTGCCTCTTCCACCTTCATCTGAATATAAACACACAAGACCAGAAAAAGATCAACAAACACACTTCCAGTCAAGCTTTTCATTTCCATGTAGTTCCAAGTCAGCGTACATCCCA